GAAGAAGAGAGAGAAACATCCATCAGTTGCCTCCCGCACACACCCTGACGGGATCAAACCCACAACCTGGGTATGTGCCCTGACCAGGAATCGAACCCGCAACCTTCTGGTGCATGAGATGACACTGCAACCAAATGAGCCACACTGGCCAGGGCAAGATTTTATAGGAGTTTTATTAAAGTCAGTTTTATGGTACAGACAGATGACTGGTGGATCACTAACCTTAGAACCTCTATTCTTTCCACTTCTCCATGTTTAGTAGTGTCCCACTTTAAGTTTTTTGAAATCCCCACATGTGATTCCACTTTGAATTTTTTTAAAAGCCGCCTCTGCCCAGATGGACATTTGAGAAAAATAATTCAGGCTCTTGTGTTGGCATTAAAAAAAATCTTTGCCAACTACAAAGCACAGGACTCCCTTTTCAATCAACAACCTTGGATTCTTATATTTCAAGTGACATTATACCTTAATTTTCTACTACCAAAAGCTTGGATGAAATAAGTGAGAAAAGTGATTAAAGGACATACTGCTTATTGATTAGTCTAGTTTCCAGTACTGAGTCTTTTTTTTAGAAAACCACACGACTGGACTCTCTTTTTTATTATTTATTTTATTTAAAAAATTTTTTTTCTTTATGACTGGACTCTCTTACCTTATCTTCATGGAAATACATTCAAACACTATTACACAGGATGGGGCAAAAGCAGGTTTACAGTTATTCATATGGAAAATAATACAATAATGAATAAATAATAATACAAGCATAGATTTTGTGTTTTGCATACTCACCACTGTAAACCTCCTTTGTCCCCAGTCTGTATGTTCTTGGACATTATGGATAGTTTATATGAAAGCCTCCCATCTGGTATACTGTGGTCACAAAATGGTGATTAATATGTTGATCCCCTCAGCCCTCAGGGATGGTCATCTTTTTGAATGTATACATTTTCTCTGTGTGCCATGATGTGAAAAAGTTTGGGAAGTCGTGGCTTATTGAAAAAATAGCCACGTGAACATCTTATCTTTTATAATCTTCTATTGAAGACACTAGTCATTAAGTAATTCAATGTTCCTTAAAATGTGAGTTGGTAAAAGACCTAAGCATTCAGTACTGAAAAGGATTTTCCCATTAAATTGGTATATTCTGACATCATGAGTATGAATTAACTAACTTGTTGTTTTTCTTTTTGAACTGGTTTTCAGGAAGCTCAATTCAAATTTTATGCTGAACTGCACTAGTCATCTTTAGCCTAAATTATCTACTATACCTACAGTTGCTCACTACATTTCATCACTAAACAGTTCTTTTAATACTCTATTCAATAGTTTTGTTATGGAATGTAATCTATGACCTATTTAGAAGCATATTGGATTAAAAATGATAAATGTACAAATAAAAATTTCAGAAAAAGATGTCTATATAATTATTAACTGCCTGGTATTACTATTCAATATATTTCTGTAAAAATGGAATTAAAAAATTCCCCTGGAAAGAGTATAATAAAATTTACAAGCTCAATCCTGTGAACTATAACTCAGAAATAACACACACATACACTCATTAGTCACTGCATATAATTCGATACAGGTTTCTGGTTTGCATAACTTTTGAGATGACCATATGAAACTGCCATTGTTGTAGGTCACAAAATGGTTAAATATTGGCAATTTCATATAGTTCAACATGAATAGGAGAAAAGGATATATCTACTAATAGGATATGGATATGTTAACACCAATAATATGATTATGTCTCACCTGAATGACCTCAGCATTCGATAGGACTTTCCTAAATCAGAGACTCTTCTGCAGAATGGACCCACAGCCAACTCCATCTGAAATATTATAATACTCATAGCTTTTAATGTCAGAATCACAAGGTGAACTGAGGATACACCTGGATCATAGAAAGTTGTAGCTTGCAGTAAACTTAAATTTTATCTTGACTATGAGGTAAGTTTTAAAAGTCAATGAAATTTATTAAAAGATAAGAACTTAGATAACGTTTTCACTTATATAGTAAAGGAGCATAAAATGAGACAATTCCTTCAAGAAAATAGAAAAACATTTTTTGTTATATAAGAGGAGAAAAGGTCTATATTTAGACCTTTTCTTCATTAAAAAAGTCAGCAAAAGGAAGGTTTCAAGACTGATTGTGTGCCTATACTTTAAGTAGGCATTAACAAACCTTTGCATCTTAAATATAAACAATGAAAATTTTTACCAGGCTGGCCCAAGTGATTAAAAGCACTGACTCTGGAGGCAGCACATCTGTGTAAGAATTCCAATCGACAATGACTAGTGTGTGGCCCTGAACTTAACCTCTTTAAGTCCCAGGTTTCTCATCTGTCAACAGAGATAATATCTACTTCAAAAAATTATGCAAGTAGGTAATTCCAGAAAGCAATGTTGGCAATTATTATCAGCATTAAAAAACCTTCCCATTTAAATGATTAATAAATTAATTTGCATTCTGAATACTCAATAATTTAGCAACGACTGGTTTCTCTTCTGTATTTTCCTCCTTTGATTGGAAATTTTACTTGTCATTAATTGGAGTTTTAGGCTACCTGTTTTTACATATGTGGCACACAGATGATACTGTCTCTCTACTCCTGCTATAACAAGGATCTTAGTAAAGGATGGTTTAGAAAATAGTTGGCAAAAAGGCTGTTCCCTGGTAATGCAGCATTTTTCTTCAAGAAAAACAAACAAAAGGAAAGGGAGGGCTTCCGTCCTGCTGCCATCCTTCTGAAACACTGTTCAAATCTCCTTGTCACTGAAGACTATGGAGACCTAAACAATCACTCTTTTAAGAAAAATTTTTGACTCCCTATCCATTGCAGGCACCGAGCTAGACAAGGGGATGAGAAAATGAATTAGACTGTCTTGCCTTCAAGGAGCTCTCTTAAATTTAGTGAGAAGAGGATATATATTTATCTAATTGATATAATTATTACTCAAAAACCTTAAGAAAGGTGTGTGTGTATACATATATACACATGCACACACAGAATGATGATTATTCAGCAAAATGATGTGTGCTATCAAATGTATGAACTGAGTGTCAGGGAGAACTGGAGGGCAGTGTCCTTGAGACGGTCTTGAGGGTAACTTCTGGACATGTGAATTTCTTTCTTAACATAGACACAGAGCATATACTATACGTCCTAGAGGAAAACACAGTTTTGAAAAACTTGCTAAAATAGAGAAGAATAAATAAAAATATTCTTGCCAACAATGCAAAACAGAGCAGCTTTCAGCCGGAGCTCAACTCAAAAGACAGTGGGTGATGGGCTGTTCGCCAGGGCCTGTTTAGTTTATTCACTCTGAGAGCTTCTGGTTTTCTTCAGAACGTGTCATTTACTTTATTACAATGAGCACAAAGTAAAAATGTGATTATCATATATCTGAGTTGGTAATTCTAATCATATACCTAACTCTGTGTGTATGTATGTATGGTTTTTTATACACTGAAATTACGTGAAATATTTTTCATGAAAACAAATAAGTGGATGGGGAAAATATTACAATATAAAAGAATATGACCTTGAATGGCTGTGTGATTATGCAGGAGATCTCTATGGCATTGGACAATTTCAAAATGTTAAGTGCTTAAAATTAATTTCTCACTCATAAAGGACCTCTAGGGTACTGAAAACCATTTTCTTCTGCCAGAAGTCCATTAAATAATAAAGGGCATGTTTCTAAAGGGCAGGAGTGTTACTTTTAGAGGAGGTGACCCTGCGAGTAGCTGTGGACACAAAAATGGCATGTGCAACTGCCTCTTTTCAGCTCTCCTGTTTGGAGGGAATGAGCAGTCAGCTGCAGGCACAGTGAACTAATTACATAGCTGCTCCTTCCCCACCACAGACATTTGGTTAACCACAGGGCATCTCTGGATGCTCCTAGGACACTCCTGCCCTGACACTGTTCATGAGAAAAAGCAATACGAATTAGAAGAGAAATTAGAATCTTGATTATTTTGTTTTCTTTTCTAAGTTTGAATTTCTAGGCAAAAAGTGAAATACAGATATAAATTATACTTCAGGGACACCAGAAGACCTAGAAATAGAAACTGCTAGAAGTGCCACTGAGTAAATAATTTAATGCTAACATCAGTAGTCATCCATTCCCTCAAGGCACATGACTGAGAAGCAGAGGGAATATGTGCTTCAAAGGACAATGTGGACAAGTCCCTCAGAGATTCAGAATCAGCAGAGCCCCGTGGCCTTGCACAAGTTAATGCTTTGGAACTGCTGTGTGATGAGCGTAGACACAGAGACCATGTGGTCACAGTAAGGAATTAATTATCTGTAGGAAACCACCTTGTGTTGTGACCTGATTCCTAAGGGGACTGTATTGGGTACTTCCTCACATGAACCCTCCAGATGGCACCCTGCAGCCACTTTCTCTTTCATGGGTGCAATGGTACCAGTGGGGGGAAGTTAGCGTTCCTAAAGAAATCTTTAAAATATTTCATTATCTGTCTTTGCAACTCTACTTTATGCCGAATAATCAGTATTCCCAAACATACTCCAGTGGTCTCTTCTTGAGCAATTTCTTTTTCTGTTATTTATGCCTAAATAGTAGGCACTTTTCACACAAGAACTCCTTTCAAACCCACAAAGGATCTGTGTATTCCTGATTCCAGTGGCCTTAATGGCTTTGTTTAATTTTGAATATAAATTGCTAGAACTTTCAATAATGAGGCAGTCTAAGGCTTTCTAGTCCCTAGTTGATGCCTGTCATGAATATAAATGTCAGGATGATACTATTTAAGTGTTTTCACTGACCCTAGACAAATAATTCCACTCAAGTATGATTCTGAAAGCTGAGGTACAACACCACATAATTGCAGTTATGGCAAGACACCAAATCGAATCAAACAAAAACTCCAAATTCACTGTAATTTTTAATGCCAAAATTACTGGTCACAAATGTGAGTATGATAGTACTTTCATCTGTCTTTCCTGTGCCCACTACCCACAGGACCAGGAAGCCATTCCCAAGGTAAATGGAGGGATGTTCTAAAACTGAAGCACACTGTACAGGAGTGAACAAAAAAATCAGCACCACACAGATTGTGGCAACCAATGTCACTGCAGGACTGGAAAACATACTGTTTACACTGAGGAAATGCTGTGTTGTAAATGCCTTTTCTCTATATATTTAAGAAATGAAAAACACAGGATGCCTTGGAGCATATAAGAGTTTCATTTACATAAAAGGAAGGGACCTGGGAAAAGGTCTGGTTTATTGGGCAACATGTCTTTAAAAAAAAGGAATGCCAAATAAAATTCAGTTTTAGGAAGGTGAGAGCTATGCATTTTAAGCAGGTGCTTGCTGCTGTACAGAGGGTTAAAAGACAGTGCTTTCCATCTTTCAAGACTCAGAGGGAACATATTAAAATGAAAAGCAACAACAAAAAGCCTTCTTCCTACAGCACTCTCTCTCAGGCTATCTCCTGCTCTGCTGCCACTCTAATTGGACTTGAAGTGCTGCCTCCAGGAAAGTGACTCAAGAACCAGCTGGAGCAGAATGCAAATAAATGGGTGAGGGAGGGAGCCCAGGGGAGAGAAGAGGATAGGAAAAGAAGAAACAAAATTAAGAAAGAAAGGGGAAAAGAAGAACAGATACTCATTTGAGTACAGCTCCCAACGTTTTTAATAAGTAAGAGCAAGTCTTGGTACTTCATTGTGTCTTCATTTCAGTAACAGTCTGTAAACCCAGTAAGGGACAAGTAAGACACTATTTATATGTAATTCTCTTTAAGCTGAAGTTTACCTGTAATAACAAGGCAAAATGTATAGATGCCTGAGAATGAAGCTGATAAAAATGGGAAAGGTAAAAGGAGCCACATTAATGGTAACAGTTAATTTTTATTTTCATACTAAGGCTATCAAATGCATAGTTCTCAAAGGAAGGCTCTTTACTATGGTCTACTGGTCTCAGGTGTATCATTTGGGGATTAAAATGACTTATTTCTAGACTAACTGATATGCAAAGAGCCCAGCTCTTGAAACATTAGGTTATGTACTTGGTTCCTTTTTGCAGCTCCATCAGGTATGAGGGAGCATCGGACAACCACTACGCTGGTACAAGCAGCCTGCCACATCCTTTTCTCTGTGCAGGAAGAATAAACTAAGACTTGCACATAGATTCAGGAATAAATAGGGACATTAAAATTTGTCTATCTTTAAAAGCAGGGGGCTTCTGGGAGACTACTATGAATAACCCATTTGAATAACTATTTAGACTTGTAAAGCTAACAGCTTTGAAAGGCTTAAAAATTATCTCACCTTTGCCCTAGCTGGTTTGGCTTAGTGATTAGAGTGTCAGCTGGTGGACTAAAGTTTCCTGGGTTTGATTCCCGCCAAAGGGCAAGGTTGCAGGCTCTGGCCTGAGTCTGAGCAAGTGCAAGAGGCAACCAATCGATGTGTCTCTTTTACATCGATGTTTCTTTCTTTCTCTCTCTCTCCCTCCACTTTCCATTCTCTTTGAAAAGCAATGGAAAAAATATCCTCAGGTGTGGGTTAAAAAAAAAAAAATGATTTCACCTTTGACATGCTACATAAATGTGAATTATCTGTTTCTGAATCTTTTAATAGAAGTGTATGTTTGAGATGTTTCTCTTTGCCTCTGACACTATTAAAAGGCTTAAAAACCGTGTCTTAAATGACAAAGAAATCACCCTTTCTATAAAAGCTGATTATGGTTCTGTTATTTTAATGTCATTTTACCTCATCCACATCACACAGCTTGGACGATTTCAAGCTGGCCACATACAAGAAAGGTACTCTATTTAATACAAGGGCCCAAATACTCAGACTCTTATCTACCTGGCCTGTGCATCTAAAGGACTTAGAACACTGTCTAGGAATGCTGAGCTGGCCACTAGAGGGTTACAGATGTGCTGGAGTTCCTTCCCTTTACATGATACAGATGGCCCTTTTATAGTGTTTGAAGGATAAATTTCATTGTCTACATTATTTTCTAGCAATTACTCTTATCAATACTGCCCTGCATGTGTGGGAAAGTAAAATAGTGAGAAAGCCCCACATTACATAAAGTGGGAAATGTTGCTTTACTGTGGAATGAGTGACTTTGCCTTAACCGTGAAATATCAAAGATGAGTGATGATTCTTTTGTTAAATTCAAAGAAAGAAATAGCTGTTATGAATTCTCTGTTATGAAAGCACCTTTAAACCTTTTTTTTTTTTTTACCAGTTAGGTTTAAATAAATCTATTTTTCTTCATACTTCATCTCTCTAAAACACTGAAGAATACATATTTAGTCTTTTATTTAACAGATAATACTGAGACTGAAACATTTTCTCTTTTGTAGCTATGCACCAATTTACCTGTGCAAAATCAGCAGCAAGTCGCATTTTCCCACCTTCACCAAGAGGTCTTATGAGACTGGCGTTGCGGATAAAAAGTTCAATTGCTCTTTGGGCAATAGCTTCAGTGTTGTCAAAGACAAAATCCAAGCATTCAAAGTGTTTAAAGTAGTCACTCATAACTCTGGCAATAAAACCTTGAAGCTCCTTCATATACAAAGAACAAGGAACATCAGGCTTTCCTGAGCTGGGTAATGACCTGCAAAAGAAAAAGACAGCTAATGCACTAAAAGGGACTATTTGACTTGTTCCCCCTCTGCCTATCAATCCTAAGCATTTTTTCCCCTTATGGGGCAGAAAAAGCATTGTTTCTTTTTGCTAAGAGTTAAAAGGAATAAAACAATGCTAAAATTATATTCTAAAGGTTGTTTTAAGATGCTAGCAAGATTACTGAAGAAATCGTAGAATACATTTACCAAAAAATGTTTTGGGGGAATATTTTATTTATTGACTGATTTGAAAGAGAGAGGGAGAGAGAGAGAGAAAAAAACACATCAATTTGTTGTCCCACTTATTTATGCAGGCGTTGGTTGTTTCTTGTATGTGCCCTGACTGGAGATCAAACCCACAACCTTGGCATATTGGGAAAACTCTCTAACCAACTGAGCTACCCAGCCAGGGCACCTAAAGAGTATTAAGAATAAAACAGACAACCATCTGTCTTGGATAATTCATGTGAGTGCCTTATGCACTCACTGATATCTAAGGCCTCTCCGAGATTTACAACTCTACATGCACTAATATGTTTTACCTGGTTAGTGAATAAATGAATGATGGATCCTGAAATAGCATTTTACACTTTGTAATGGCAGTAAATGCTGCCTTTCTCAAACAAATTCTTGGCAAAGATATTTCTGCTATGGTACTATTTAATCTGATCTGTCCAATAGAATTCTGACTGTGGAACTGGTTATGTAACAATATGCATTGTATGCAATTTTTCCTCCCAGTTGATGAGGTTTGGAAAGGCTTCAATTTGGGTCAACAGATGATGCGAGTTGATACTCCACGAAATACTATTTATAATTTATAAGTGTTTATAATTGCTCTTTAAAGAATGTATTAAAAGAATGTGAAATATTAATAGGAAAGAAGAATTATAACAAAATTAGAACTCACCTAATATTAACTAGTCAATGAGATCACTGGCTACATAATACTGAATCATTTTTTAAAAATAAGTGTTTCCATACTCTGAGAATGACATAGAGAAACTGGCAATGGTCTAGAAAAGAACTGACTCAAATGCAAGAGAATGAGGTGAACTGATTTTAAAACATAGCAATGGTTATTATAAGTAGGATGCTAACCAAAGGTCTAGCAGATGGTGGCTGGCCTCAGTGTACCCAGTGACTTTTGCTGAGTGGCCTCAGATCTGGCACTGGTACAGAGTTTCAATCTGTAGTAACCTTGGGAATACCACTAGCTCTTACCTGGTACCTCCCTGAGAACCTACCTAATATAACTCATGTATTGCCTATGGCTCTTTCAGGGGCTAAGCCTATCAAGCAGCACGTTGCCAGGTGCCTTGGGCCTTTTGCTGACATGCCCCAGGGCTGGTAATGGTGGCAGCAGGCCTTGGTACACAGCTCAGCCCATCCAATGTGCACCCAGGTGCAGCTCAGCCCATCCCATGTGCAGCTTCTGACACTGACCTATACTGGAGTTCCTCCCAAGAAGCCAAAGAACCAGCATAACCAATGGCTCGATTCAGACCACAACAGAGCATGACCTCATTAGCTCCACAAGAGGCATGCCCAAAGGGAGTTCTCGACAGGCACCAGACCCTGCTGGGATGAATTCTGTTCCTGGGGTCAGTCCCCACACAACAGTTCATAATGCTGTGGTCATGGTCAGTCGTCATAGACAGATAGCCTGAGACTCAACCCTACCCCTGGACATTCCAACAATCCAGGCTCAACTACAATACAAGAACTCACATAATGCACACAAGAGACACTACTGGGGCACCCAGCTCAGGTGATCAGGAACACTGTGCCACTTGGCCCTATAGGAAATCTATTACATAAGGCCACCCTACCAAGACAGAGAGACATAGCAGATCTACATAATACACAGAAACAAACACAGAAAGGCAGCCAAATGGGGAGACAAAGAAATATGCTCCAAGTAAAAGAACAGAAGAAATTTCCAGAAAAAGAACTATATGAAATGGAGGCAAACAATTTACCAAACATAGAGTACAAAAAAATAGAAAGATGCTCAAGAAATTTAGAACCTCAAAAGAATAAAACGGACACAGAATCCATAAAACAGGACCAGTCAGAAAGGAAGAATAAAATAACACAAATGAAGTATGCACCTGAAGGCCCAGACAGTGTGGCTCAGCAGTTGAGCATCGACCTATGAATCAGGAGGTCATAGTTCGATTCCTGGTCATGCCCAGGTTTTAGGCTCGATCCCCAGTAGGGGGCATACAGGAGGCAGCTGACTGATGATTTTCTCTCATCACTGATGTTTCTATGTCTCTCTCCCTCTCCCTTCCTCTCTCTGAAATCAATAAAAACATATTAAAAAAATAATAAAATGGCTTTACTTAAAAAAAATACATTAGAAGAAATCAAATCAGGTTAGATGAAGCAGATGATCAAATCAGCGATTTGGAAGACAAGGTAGCAGAAAACACCCAATCAGAGCAGGAAAAAAAAAATTTTTTTTTTCAGTGGGGATAGTTTAAGGAACCTATGGGACAACATCAAACATAACATCTGTATCATAGAGGGTACCAGAATGAGAAGAAATAAATTGAGAATCTATTTGAAGATAATAACTGAAAACTTCCCTACTGATGAAGAAAAAAGACACACAAGTCCAGGAAGCACAGATTCCTAAACAAGATGAACCCAAAGAGGCCCACACCAAGCCACAATATAATTAAAATGGCAAAGGTTAAAGGCAAAGAGAGAATCTTAAAAGCAGTGAGAAAAAGGCAGTTATTTATAAAGGAGCTCCCATACCACTGTCAGCTGATTTCTCAACAGAAACTTTTCAGGCCAGAAGGATTAGTATGAAATATTCAAAGTGATGAAAAGCAAGGACCTACAACCAAGACTACTCTACTAACCAGCAAGACTATCATTTCAAATTAAAAGAGAAATAAAGAGCTTCCAGAAAACAGAAAAATAAAGGAGTTTATCATCACCAAGCAAGTATTACAAGGAATGTTAATAGGTCCTAGCTAGGTGGCTCAGTTGGTTGGAGTGTCATCCCATATATCAAGAGGTTGCAGGTTTGATTCCCGGTCGGGGCACATGCCTAGGTTGCAGGTTCAATCCCTGGTCGGGGTGTGTATGGGAGGCAACCTATCAATGTTTCTCTCTCACATTGATGTGTGTGTGCGGGTTTTTTCCTCTCTCTCTCTCCTTTCCTCTCTCTCTCTTCTTCTCCCTTCCTCTCTTTAAAATCAATAAAAGTATCCTTGGGTGAGGGTTAAAAAAAAAAGTAGAAACATAAAAAGGACTTCCTTAAGGAAGAAAATGAACATAAATATGAGTAATAAAATGGCAATAACTGTGAACCTATCAGTAACAACTTTAAATGTAAATGGATTAAATGCTCCAATCGAAAGACAGGGTGGTTGATTAGATAATGAAATAAAACCCATATATATGCTCTCTACAAGAGACCCACTTCTGATAGAAAAACACAACACAGATTGAAAGAGATGGAAAAAGATATTTCATGAAAATGAAAACAAACAAAAAGGCCGGGGTGGCAATATTTGTATCACACAAAACAGACTAAAACAAAGGCTATAACAAGAAACAAAGAAAGACATTACATAATTAGAAAGGGATCAATCCAACAGAGAATATAACCTTTGTAAACACTGATACGCCAACATAGGAGCACCTAAATATATAAAGCAAATATTGATGGACAAAAAGAGAGAGCTCAACAGTAATAGTCATAGTAGGAAAGTTTAACTACACTGACATCAATGGATAGATCTTTCAGACAGAAAATCAACAAGGAGGCAGTGGCCTTAAATGACACAATAAACAAAAAGTATTTAATTGGTACTTTTAGATTATTTCACCCCAAAGCAGCAGAATATACATTCTTTCAAGTACACATGAAACATTTTCCAAAATAGACCATGTTAGGTCATAAAACAAGCCTCAAAAATTCAAGAAGATTGAAGTCATATCAAACATCTTCTCTGACCACAATGTTATGAAATGAGAAATCAATTACAATAAAAAAACTGAAAAACACACAAACATATGGAAGTTAAATAACGTTACTAAACAATGAATGGGTTAACAATGAGATCAAGCAAGAAATGAAAAGATACCTTGAGACGAATGAAAATGAAAACACAACAACCCACAATCTATGGGACACAATAAAAGTAGTCCTAAGAGGGAAATTCAGAGCATTACAGAAAAAGAAAAAAGAAAAATCATGCCCTGGTCAGTTTTGCTCAGTGGTTAGAGCATCAGTCTGCATACTGAAGGGTCCCGGGTTCTATTCTAGCCTAGGGCACGTGCTGGGGTTGTAGGCTTGATCCCGGCATGTGTGCGATGCAATCAATGGATGTGTTTCTCTCACATCAATGTTTTTCTCTCTCTCTCTCTCCCTTCCACTCTCTCTAAAAAGCATTGGAAAAATATCCTTGGGTGAGGCAAAAAAAAAAAAATCTCAAATAAACAATCTAACCTTACACCTAAAGAAACTAGCAAAAAACAAACAAGAACAACACCAAAAAGCCCAAAGTGAGTAGAAGGAAAGAAATAATAAAGATCAGAGTGGCAATAAACATAATAGTCTAAAAAAGATATGAAATATCAGTGAAACCAAGAGCTGCTTCTTTGAAAAGATAAATAAGATTATTAGACCTTTAACTAGACGCATCAAGAAAAAAAAGGAAGAGAAGGAAATAATATAAAGTGATGAAAGAAGAGAAGTGACAAGTGACACCATAGAAAGACAAAGGATTATAGGAAAATAATATGAACAATGGAGGGTGTTGCTCAGTTGGTTGGAGCGACGTCCCATACACCAAAAGGTCATAGGTTCTATTCCCTGTCAAGGTGCATTCTGGTGTTTCTTTCTCCCTTCCTCTCTCTCTAAAATCAATTATAAAAAACATATAAAACACTGCTACTCTCCTCATTCAAGTTTCTTTTAAAAAGAAAAGGGAAAAAGAAAATATGAAAAATTACATGACAATAA